ACAAACGGGGTTCCACAGGGGTCAGTCCTAGGACCTGTGCTGTTCTTGGTATATGTGAACGACATAACGGAAGGGATAGACTCAGATGTGTCCTTGTTTGCAGATGATGTGAAGTTAATGAGAAGAATCAAATCGGATGAGGATCAGGCAGGACTACAAAGAGACCTGGACAGGCTACAAGCTTGGTCCAGCAACTGACTCCTCGAGTTTAACCCTGCCAAATGCAAAGTCATGAAGATTGGGGAAGGGCAAAGAAGACCGCAGACACAATATAGTTTAGATGGCCAAAGACTGCAAACCTCACTCAAGGAAAAAGATCTGGGGGTGAGTATAACACCGAGCATATCTCCTGAGGAGCACATCAATCATATAACTGCTGCAGCATACGGACACCTGGCAAACCTACGGATAGCGTTCCGATACCTCAGTAAGGATTCGTTCAAGACTCTGTATACCATTTACGTCAGGTCCATACTGGAGTATGCAGCACCAGTTTGGAATCTACACCTAGTCAAGCACGTCAAGAAATTAGAGAAAGTGCAAAGGTTTGCAACAAGACTAGCCTCAGAGCTACGGGGATTGTCCAACGAAGAAAGGTTGAGGGAAATCGGCCTGACGACACTGGAGGACAGGGGGGTCAGGGGAGACATGATAACGACATATAAAATACTGCGCGGAATAGACAAGGTGGACAAAGACGGGATGTTCCAGAGATGGGACACAGACACAAGAGGTCATAATTGGAAGTTGAAGACTCAGATGAATCAAAGGGATGTTAGGAAGTATTTCTTCAGTCATAGAGTAGTCAGGCCGTGGAATAGCCTAGAAAGTGACGTAGTGGAGGCGGGAACCATACATAGTTTTAAGGCGAGGTATGATAAAGCTCGTGGAGCAGGGAGAGAGAGGACCTAGTAGCAATCAGCGAAGAGGCGGGGCCAGGAGCTATGACTCGACCCCTGCAACCACAAATAGGTGAGAACAAATAGGTGAGTACACACACAAAATAAATGATAAAACTCATGGAGCAGGGACAGAGGACCTAGTAGCACTCAGTGAAGAGGCGGGGCCAGGAACTGAGTCTCGACCCCTGCAACCACAGCTAGGTGAGTACACACACATGTTCAAGACCCAGAACAATGTGTATGTTAGGCCCATATTGGAATATGCAGCACCAGTTTGGAACCCACACCTAGCCAAGCACATAAGGAAACTAGAGAAAGTGCAAAGGTTTGCAACTAGATTGCTCCCGGTCCCCGGAGCTAAGGGGTATGTCCTACGAGGAGAGACTTAGAGAAATCGACCTGACGACACTGGATGACAGGAGATAGGGATGATATGATAACGACATACAAAATACTGAGAGGAATCGATAAGGTGGACAGAGACAGGATGTTCCAGAGATGGGACACAGCAACAAGGGGTCACAGTTGGAAGTTGAAGACTCAGATGAATCACGGGGATGTTAGGAAGTATTTCTTCAGCCAGAGTTGTCGAGAAGTGGATAGTCTGGGAAGTGATGTACTGGAGGCAGGAACCATACATAGTTTTAAGACGAAGTTTGACAAGTTCATGGAGCAGAGAAAGTGAGAACCTAGTAGCAATCATTGAAGAGGCAGGGCCAGGAGCTATGATCGACCCCTTCAACCACAAATAGGAGTACACACACACACACACACACACACACACACACACACACACACACACACACACACACACACACACACAAACAAACACACACACACACACACAGGGACGTTAGGAAGTATTTCTTCAGTCATAGAGTTGTCAGGAAGTGGAATAGCCTAGCAAGTGAAGTAGTGGAGGCAGGAACCATACATAGTTTTAAGAAGAGGTATGACAAAGCTCAGGAAGCAGAGAGAGAGAGGATCCAGTAGCGATCAGTGAAGAGGCGGGGCCAGGAGCTGAGTCTCGACCCCTGCAACCACAATTAGGTGAGTACAATTAGGTGAGTACACACACACACACACACACACACACACACACACACACACACACACACGTTACTAGGTGAGTACACACACACACAGGGACGTTAGGAAGTATTTCTTCAGTCATAGAGTTGTCAGCAAGTGGAATAGCCTAGCAGGTGAAGTAGTGGAGGCAAGAACCATACATAGTTTTAAGAAGAGGTATGACAAAGCTCAGGAAGCAGAGAGAGAGAGGATCCAGTAGCGATCAGTGAAGAGGCGGGGCCAGGAGCTGAGTCTCGACCCCTGCAACCACAATTAGGTGAGTACAATTAGGTGAGTACACACACACACACACACACACACACACACACACAGGGACGTTAGGAAGTATTTCTTCAGTCATAGAGTTGTCAGCAAGTGGAATAGCCTAGCAGGTGAAGTAGTGGAGGCAAGAACCATACATAGTTTTAAGAAGAGGTATGACAAAGCTCAGGAAGCAGAGAGAGAGAGGATCCAGTAGCGATCAGTGAAGAGGCGGGGCCAGGAGCTGAGTCTCGACCCCTGCAACCACAATTAGGTGAGTACAATTAGGTGAGTACACACACACACACACACACACACACAGGGACGTTAGGAAGTATTTCTTCAGTCATAGAGTTGTCAGCAAGTGGAATAGCCTAGCAAGTGAAGTAGTGGAGGCAGGAACCATACATAGTTTTAAGAAGAGGTATGACAAAGCTCAGGAAGCAGAGAGAGAGAGGATCCAGTAGCGATCAGTGAAGAGGCGGGGCCAGGAGCTGAGTCTCGACCCCTGCAACCACAATTAGGTGAGTACACACACACACACACACACACACACACACACACACACACACACACACACACACCAACCAGAGAGAGAGGGGAGGATGAGCCAGCAAGACTGGATCTTGTGTTCACCCTGAGCAGTTCAGACATTGAGGACATCACTTACGAGAGGCCCCTTGGAGCTAGCGATCACGTGGTTCTGAGTTTTGACTATATAGTAGAGTTACAAGTGGAGAAGGTAACAGGAACTGAAGGGGACAGGCCAGACTATAAAAGGGGGGACTACACAGGTATGAGAAACTTCCTGCAGGAGGTTCAGTGGGACAGAGAAATGGTAGGAAAATCAGTAAACGAGATGATGGAACATGTGGCAACAAAGTGCAAGGAGGCAGAAGAAAGTTTTGTTCCCAAGGGAAACAGAAATAATAGGAAGACCAAAACGAGTCCTTGGTTTACCCGAAGGTGTAGGGAGGCAAAAACTAAGTGCAACAGAGAATGGAAAAGGTACAGGAGGCATAGGACCCAGGAAAACAAGGAGATTAGTAGAAGAGCCAGAAACGAGTATGCACAGATAAGGAGGGAGGCCCAGCAACAGTATGAAAACGACATAGCATCGAAAGTCAAATCTGACCTGAAACTGCTGTATAGCCACATTAGGAGGAAGACAACAGTCAAGGACCAGGTGATAAGGCTGAGGAAAGAAGGTGGAGAACTCACAAGAAACGATCAAGAGGTATGTGAGGAGCTCAACACGAGATTTAAGGAAGTATTTACAGTAGAGACAGGAAGGACTCTGGGGGGACAGACCAGATGGGGACACCAGCAAGGAATACACCAACAAGTGTTGGACGACATACATACAGATGAGGAGGAGGTGAAGAAACTGCTAAGGGACATCGATACCTCAAAGGCAATGGGACCGGACATCTCCCCGTGGGTCCTTAGAGAGGGAGCAGATATGTTGTGCATGCCACTTACCACAATCTTCAACACGTTCCTGGAAACTGGGCAACTACCTGAGGTATGGAAGACGGCAAATGTAGTTCCCATTTTTAAAAAAGGAGACAGAAAAGAGGCACTAAACTATAGACCTGTGTCATTGACGTGTATAGTATGCAAAATTATGGAGAAGATTATCAGGAGGAGAGTGGTGGAGCACCTGGAACGGAACAAGAGTATAAATGCCAACCAGCACGGATTCACGGAAGGCAAATCCTGTGTCACAAACCTTCTGGAGTTTTATGATAAAATAACAGAAGTAAGACACGAGAGAGAGGGGTGGGTTGATTGCATCTTCTTGGACTGCAAGAAGGCCTTTGACACAGTTCCTCACAAGAGATTAGTGCAGAAGCTAGAGCATCAGGCGCATATAACAGGAAGGGCACTGCAATGGATCAGAGAATACCTGACAGGGAGGCAACAACGAGTCATGGTACGTAATGATGTATCACAGTGGGCCCCTGTGACGAGCGGGGTCCCACAGGGGTTGGTCCTAGGACCGTGCTTTTTTGGTATATGTGAACGACATGATGGAAGGGTTAGATCAGAGTGTCCTGTTTGCAGTTGATGTGAATTTAAATGAGGAGAATTAAATCTGATGAGGACCAGGCGGCTTCCAAGGCCCGGGACAGACTGGCCCCGGTCAAAAAATGGCTTCTCGAATTTAATCCTGCCAAATGCGGGCATGAGATGGGGAAGGCACAGAAGCCCACAGACAGAGATGGGTAGGGGGCCAAAAGACTGAAAAACCTCACTCAAGGAAAAAAGATCTTGGGGTGGTATAAACCGAGCTGTCCCCGGGAAGCCCATCAATCAGATAATGCTGCAGATATGGGCGCTGGAAAAACCTGAGAACAGCTTCGTACTTGTAAGGAATCATTCAAGACACTGTACACCGTGATGTCACCCCATACGAAGTAGCGCATTTTTGGAACCCGCACTTGTAAAGCACGTCAAAAAAACTAGAGAAAGTACAAAGGTTTGCGACAAGGTTAGTTCCAGAGTAAAGGGAAAAAGTCCTATGAAAAAAGATTAAGGGAAATCGGCCTGACGACATGGGGAAGGGGGTCAGGAGACATGATAACGACTATAAAATTTCTGGTGGAAAAGACAGGTGGACAAAAGACAGGATGTTCCAGGGGGGGACACAAAAAAAAGGGCCCAATTGGAAATTGAAGACACAAAAGGCGAGAGATATTAGGAAGTATTTCTTTAGTTTATAGGTTTTAAGGCAGTGGGGAAAAGCTGAAAGACGTAGTGGAGGCAGGAACCATACACAGTTTTAAGACGAGGTTTGATAAAGCTCATGGAGCGGGGAGAGAGAGGGCCCAGTAGCAACCGGTGAAGAGGCGGGGCCAGGAGCTAAGACTCGACCCCTGCAACCACAAATAGGTGAGTACAAATAGGTGAGTACACACACATACACGCGCGCGCGCGCGCGAACGCACGCCAAGTATACTACACGCACTCGTCAATTTTTCGTTTCAGCTCTTAGATCATAAATAGTCAAAATCATGTTTGGAATATAATGACAATTTGTTCAAGTTTTAGACCTTGAAGAGAACAATGTTCTAAGTGTGTTTTCAGTCACCAGTGATATAATACCACCTCTCGCCAGGGCCTTCTAGGGTTGCTAACTGGTTGTAAAGGAAAGCCAGAAGACTTGATCTGAAGCACCGCTATTATTATTACTATTTTTTGGGAACTTTGGGGGTCTGAGGGAATTTTGCGGGGGGGGGGGGGGAGCTGAAGCCCCCAAACTTTCCCTTGGCACCACCACTGCCTCTCGCATTTATTTTTTGATGTGCCAACGAAAAATTTCGTCACCGCAAGCGCAGTTATAATTAGGTAAAATCACTTCAAATACATACCTTGAATTAATATTTTTAAACCTGAGACAAACTCTCAAGATACCTTATTTGCCTATAAAGTAAAAAAAAAAAGTTTACGAATGAATATTTACTCAAATTAGTAAAAATAAAAACATTACAGATGCCTCTGTTGCAGGTGTTGGAGTCCGTCAGGTTTCTGGCCGTGAAACCTCTGCTCACTGCCAATAAATTGGCACAAACACACTTTTAACAAATTGTTGGGTAACTTCTCGCTTAAGTGGAATCAAATCGAAGTCTAAAACTGTATACCTATACCAATCACTGCTCAATTATACAGACTACCGATCTATACAGACCAGTTCTAAACAGACTACTGATCGAGTCCGCCAGAGCACGCCAGTGATTGATTGCTTTGTTGGGTGCCTGTTACAGATATAACTGCCATCACTGAACAGGCCATCAGATGACAAAGACTCGTCTCAAGTGGGTTTCTCTGACGAATAAGTAAAGAGGTTAATCTTTATGACTTACGAAAGTTACGTTTGTTGTATCAGAAGGCTCCTAATTAGGTGTGTGATGTCTCAATGCTCTCCCTATCTTGCCCGAATAAACTTTTCAGAAACACATATGGAAACCTCTTATCAAGAGGCAACCTCAAATTCCTGTGTTGCCAGTAAATCTCCGACGTTACGATAATTATATTAATTCTCTACACAGCGACTCAGATATGGAGAGAAACTGCAACTGAAAGCTGGACAACGTTGCCGCTCGCCATGAAGCACTGTAAAGTTGTTAGTGACCACGGTGAAAGTCAGTAGAAAGTTCAAGGCAACGGGAACTGAAACAGCGAGGGTCAGGTTAAGCTGCGGATGTTCAGCATATTAAAGCACTTGATGACGCACTGGGAGGCAGAAGACTACAGAAACAAAGCAGCAGCAATACAGTCCGCTACTCTTGCTCTCCAGTATACTGGTAATTCTTGCCGCTTCCCTTTCCGACACATAACCACAAACCCATGTTCCTCTTGCTGACACAACAGTCATCTTTTCAGCCATGCTAAAAATTATAGCTATTTGATAACCTAGCCTTTCGAGGATTCCAGAGCTCTAGCTGAATAGTTTTTTAAACGATATACACACTATTATTATCACATTCACGAAGCGCTAAACCCACAGGGATCGTACAACTCATGGAAGGTAATCAGATTTAATCCAGTTCCTTAAATAAAGAGCTCTTAGCTTGCTTATACACAACGCTCCTAGTGTAAATTTTTGACTGTTTCTGTAGATGCTATGCTGTCAGCCATTTTAATCTTCATGACTGTTCTAATCAGAACCAAAGCAACTTGACCCTTGCTTCATCTCATCTTATACCATCTTGACCATTTTATTGACTAACTCCTAACATGGTACCAAAGTACCGATAAACACATTGTTCAGATTTCAACTGCAATTCGTGATATTTATATTTGTTCCAGCCAGTATATCATAACAAACTTTGTCTGTCAAGTCATAATATCCTGGCTGGAATAATTCACAAATAACACAACTGGAAAAGAAGTTGTAGACGGCCTAACCTGCCCGTAGAAAAAGATAACTTGTACAGTTCTGTACATACACATAAAAGGCTTCACCACGAGTCATTTCAATCCAAAAACTGAAGAAGCCTTTTGTAGTGAAATGTTTTCTTTTATAAATGTCCTGAAGTGTATACAAGCGTCTTTTTTTCCACATCTTGTCATTGTCACCACAGCATTCACTTCCAACCTAGACCATAATCAGGTTGCAAGTGAGAGAATAATCGAGAAGTCTGAAGACGTTAGGTTGAAGTTTCCTCTCCAAATTGTGAGTTACCTGTTATTGCGTGTTTTGCTTCTTTCCATGTCTTGCCCTACCTTCACCATTCATGATTATGCCAAAAATTAAATTACACATAGTGAGAAGATTCCACATATATATTTCATTCATAAACATACTTGAAATGCTCATGTTTACCGTAGAATGGCAGTGCATATTAGTTTGTCGCTATGACAGCAAGTGTACATGTTTATCGTAGTGGTAGTGTATGCCAGCACGTTGGCTACTACACGTGAAAATGCACACGTTTATTGTAGAGTGATAATGTATGCCAGCACCTCGCTACGACAACAAGAGTGTAAATGCTCAAAGTTATCGTAGAGTGGCAGTGCATGTTAGCTGGTCGCTATGACAGGAATGAGAATCTACTTGTTGGCAAGGTAGATCACGGGAGGTCTTCAAAAGCTAGGCGTTGTTACAGTCTCTGGAGGTGCGGGTGTCATCCAAGGTAAGCGTGAGTCTGACGGAAGCTATGGGGTCTCTGCGGAAGTGAAGCAGGCACAGGTAGTCCCCAGTGAAGTTTAAGGTGAACCCCTTGAAGACGAGATAGGCGCGGGGCAGCTGATATCTGTTGGCTAGTATGAAGACGCTGGGGTCGTTCTCTGCCGGGGAAGGCATCTCCCAGCTGTAGACGGTAAGAGTAAATAAGTTTATTTAGGTACAGGTATACATAAGTACAATTATCATACATAGTAACGTATGTGTAAATTACCTAAGATAACCCAAAAAGTCAGTGACTTATTTCCACTGGGGTCCTTGTAATATGTTAGTCCTTGTAAAATCTATTAGTATACAGTAGAGAATAATGAACAACAGGGAGGCGAAATACCAACTTACTACACTAATAGGATGCAATGCATTAATTCAGCATGTACAGTACCATTGACGAACTAGGAAAATTTATATATGCAAAATTTGCAACCATAAACTTTAAAGGCCCCAATCACAGTAAGAGCTTTCTGCAGATCATAACACAATAAATAATCTAACCAACTTTCGAGATAATTTTTAAGACTTGTTCATTAACAATAAAATAAATGTATATAACTTAATTGCTGGAGGCTTCAACTTCAGTTCATTCAACCAGAAGACCTATAAGTAGCTGGTTTCCTAAACATTAGGAATAACTGCTTATCAATACCATATTAATGACCAAACCGGTGATAATTACTACGGCCACTGTATCTTCACATGACCACACCTGGGCAATTAATATAATAGCTTCTTTAAAGCTGCTATGGAAAATTTTGATATTTTCCTGTAATTTGTGTAATAACTGAAAGACATAATAGTGTTTAAATAACGTAGGGTAGGTGTGTAATGTCGACGAGACTTTTAAAAGATGGTAAGCACAGGAACCAATATCCCCTATAATTTACTTTTTTTATGGTAATCAGTTAATTAAGTAAAATATAATCAGTGTAAATTAGAGGAAATTAATATTCGAATACTGACAATGTATTACACACTTGGAAGTGTTACTGAATAGATATGTGTAGACAAACGTTTTGAGGAGGAAGCCGCAATTTGGCGTAAAGGAAGAACGGACCGGAATTTGTGCGCATTTAATCAAGTGTAATCTGAGCCGATAGAGAATATATCGGCAATGTAGTTTAACGTCTGGATAAACGAAGAGACAGTGTATCTGGAAAGATCCAGATCTGTGAAACTGTCATATTAATGAAGATAATACTGGACGCGGTGATTGGATGTGTTGAACACCTCGTGTATTGAAATAAGTTATGTTCGCCTCCATACATGTGGTATAAAACCACAGGACGGGAAAGATATCTTTTATTAGCCAATATTAGGCAACCGTCCTGTTAGGAAGGCGTTAGATTATATCACCTAAAGAATAATTGGGTGAGTATTAATTTTATCTACACTTACGTTACAATTATTGGAATTGTGGTATATAAACAGGATGCTAACAAATTATATAAAAATTGTCAAGTTCAAAGTAACTTTTCAGTAATATATACAGTCCACAACCAAATTTAATACAGCCAGTTACTAGCTTGAAATTCTTTTATTAATCAATACTCAAGAACTACGTGCTCACATAATTTAAGGTCCAGATGTGTGAGTTGGGGGACTGTGAATGTGGGCAGTGAAATAGTAATGTGGAAACTCATTATTCCTGAAGTCCTACATGGCTCCGAGGTACATCTATATCAGTAAGTGTAACTGTCTTACATGTGCCAAAGTTCTTCCCAGGTATGCGTGTGAAATGTTAATTCAGGATTGTACCTGTGAAATTCATATACATAATGTCTCATAGTTGCTATTATCACCAACAGTGCTCCTGAGGGTGCTAGTGCTGTCCTGGGGGAAAGTGCTCGTGAGGTTACAAGTGTTGTCCTGGAGGACAGTGAAGACAACGTTATTCAGTCCACAGAGGTTCAAAATGGAGATACTGATACAGATACTAGTGCTGGAAAAAAAAGTCCCCCCCAGTACCACCAATACCACCAGTCCGATGACATTCTTCTTTGCAAATATACAGGGTCTAAAGCCAGCAACGAACAACACAATGCCTTTCATCCGTGGACTGCTTGAAGAGGCAAATGCAATGTTCGCGGCTTTCACAGAGACCCACATAAAGGATCACTTGGACAACGAAATATGGATCCCAGGTTACAACCTATACAGATGCGACAGAGTGAATAGGCAAAAGGGGAGGGGGGGGAGAGTTTTGCCTGTATATCGCAGAGTCGCTTATTTGCACAGAACTGCTTAATGCCTCAAATGATGTAGTGGAAGTTTTAGCAGTAAAGATCGAGAACCAAAACCTAGTCATTGTGGTATTCTACAAGCCTCCGGATGCAACATCCCAGCAATTCCAGTAACACCTATTAAAAATTGACCACTGTCTGGAAAATCTTCCAGTTCCTGCCCCCAACATCTTGCTCCTGGGGGATTTCAACTTGAGGCACCTAAAATGAGGAATATAGCAAATAATGTTGTTGCAGTGATAACACCAGGAGACAGCTCTGACGAGAACTCACACACACACACGAGCTTTTAAATCTCTGCACAAAATTCAACTTAAACCAGCAAAGATTAGAGCCTACTAGACTGGAGAATACACTAGACCTCATCTTCACTAACAATGATGATCTGATACGAAATGTCACCATATCAAAAACAATATACTCAGATCACAACATAATCCAGGTTCAGACATGTATGTGCGGGGTCCCAGACCGACAAAATGAGATTAGTCACGAGGGAGCCTTCACCAAATTCAACTTCAATAACAAGAACATAAAGTGGGACCAAGTAAACCAAGTCCTAAACGATATAAGCTGGGAAGATAGACTAAGCAACACAGACCCCAACTTATGCCTAGAACAGAACTCGGTGGCACTCGATGTATGTTCAAGGCTATTTCCTTTAAGAAAAAGGAGGAGTAGATGTAAAATAGAAAGAGACAGGCGCTCCCTTTACAGGCGACGGAAAATAATAATAGAGCGGCTAAAAGAGGCCACTATATCTGAAATGCGTAGGGAGTCACTGGTCAGAGAAATAGCAAACATCGAACTTAAGCTAAAGGAATCTTATAGGAGGCAGGAATCGCGGGAAGAACTAAAAGCCATGAATGAAATCGAAAGAAACCCAAAGTATTTCTTTTTTTATGCCAAATCAAAGTCGAGAACAACATCCAGTATTGGGCCCCTACTTAAACAAGATGGGTCATACACAGATGGCAGCAAGGAAATGAGTGAGCTACTCAAGTCCCAATATGACTCAGTTTTTAGCAAGCCACTAACCAGACTGAGAGTCGAAGATCAAAATGAATTTTTTATGGCAGCCACAGAATTTGGTAAACACAAACCTATCTGATGTTATCCTGACGCCAAATAACTTCGAACAGGCGATAAATGACATGCCCATGCACTCTGCTCCAGGGCCAGACTCATGGAACTCCGTGTTCATCAAGAACTGCAAGAAGCCCCTATCACGAGCTTTTACCATCCTATGGAGAGGGAGCATGGACACGGGGGCCGTCTCACAGTTACTGAAAACAGACACAGCCCCACTCCACAAAGGGGGCAGTAAAGCAATAGCAAGGAACTACAGACCGATAGCACTAACATACCATATCATAAAAATCTTTGAAAGGGTCCTAAGAAGCAAGATCACCACCCATCTAGATACCCATCAATTAAACAACCCAGGACAACATGGGTTTAGAGCAGGTCGCTCCTGTCTGTCCCAACTACTGGATCACTACGACAAGGTCCTAGATGCACTAGAAGACAAAAAGAATGCAGATATAATATATACAGACTTTGCAAAAGCCTTCGACAAGTGTGACCATGGCGTAATAGCGCACAAAATGCGTGCTAAAGGAATAACAGGAAAAGTTGGTAGATGGATCTATAATTTCCTCACAAACAGAACACAATGAGTAGTAGTCAACAAAGTAGTTTGAGGCGGGTACGGTGAAAAGCTCTGTTCCACAAGACACAGTACTCGCTCACATCTTGTTTCTCATCCTCATATCTGACATAGACAAGGATGTCAGCCACAGTACAGTGTCTTCCTTTGTAGATAACACCCGAATCTGCATGACAGTGTCTTATATTGCTGACACTGCAAGGCTCCAGGCGGACATCAACCAAATCTTTCAATGGGATGCAGAAAACAATATGAAGTTCAACGATGAGAAATTTCAATTACTCCGATATGGTAAACATGAGGAAATTAAAACTTTATCAGAGTACAAAACAAATTCCGGCCACAAAATAGAGCGAAAAACCTACGTCAAAGACCTGGGAGTGATCATGTCGGAGGATTTCACCTCCAAGGACCATAACATTGTATCAATCGCATCTGCTAGAAAAATGACAGGATGGATAATGAGAACCTTCAAAACTAGGGAGGCCAAGCCCATGATGACACTCTTCAGGTCGCTTGTTCTATCTAGGCTGGAATATTGCTGCACACTAACAGCACCTTTCAAGGCAGGTGAAATTGCTGACCTAGAAAATGTACAAAGAACCTTCACGGCGCGCATAACGGAGATAAAACACCTCAATTACTGGGAGCGCTTGAAGTTCCTGAACCTGTACTCCCTGGAATGCAGGCGGGAGAGATACATGATTATATACACCTGGAAAATCCTAGAGGGACTAGTACCGAACTTGCACACGAAAATCACTCACAACGAAAGCAAAAGACTCGGCAGACGATGCAACATCCCCCCAATGAAAAGCAGGGGTGTCACTAGCACGTTAAGAGACAATACAATAAGTGCCAGGGGCCCGAGACTGTTCAACTGCCTCCCAGCATACATAAGCGGGATTACCAATAGACCCCTGGCTGTCTTCAAGCAGGCACTGGACAAGCACCTAAAGTCGGTACCTGACCAGCCAGGCTGTGGCTCGTACGTTGGATTGCGTGCAGCCAGCAGTAACAGCCTGACTGATCAGGCTCTGATCCACCAGGAGGCCTGGTCACAGACCGGGCCGCGGGGGCGTTGACCCCCGGAACTCTCTCCAGGTAAACTGCTGGAGATGGATCAAAAGGGGATGATGCCTCAGGAAATAGTGTCGACGACACACTACCAGCAAAACCTGGTGGAAGCACTGATGTACATGCAGGGGTGAAAGATAGGGAGGAAACAGGTAAAATAAATGCACCAGCAGCGAACGCAGCTACAATAAATCCTAGAAAACAGAATTACAATCTATGTAAATTCTATGCCTTGGGTATCTGCAGGCACGGTATATCTGGTAAAACAGGTGAGATGCACTTTTGACCATCCCAAAAAATGCCGTACCACATGACAACAGGAAAGTGCAACTTCCCCTCCTGTAACTTATTTCACCCAGAAATATGTCACTCATCAATCCATGAAAGAAAATGCTACAATGCATACTGTCAGGCACATCACCTGAAGGGGACTAGAAGACACAGACTAGCCAGACTATGGAAAACAAAAGAGGGGAGCCGCAACCTCTCCTGGGACAGAAGTTTTTTAGGGCCAGGGAGGAAAAAAGACTGACAAGAAATGACAATAATCCTACACCATCTGAAAACACTTCTGGAGCAGAAGCACGGACATTGACCTCTATTCCAGAGCAACAGATAATAGGGCCAGCAAATAACCCCTCCCCCTAAATTCCACCAATATAACGACATTTCTCTTTGCAAACATACAGGGTCTAAAGCAAATTCCTTACATCAAGGGACTGCTCACGGAGTCAAATGTAATGTTTGTAGAATTCACAGAGACCCACCTAAAGGATCATTATAACAAAAGGAAACAAGGGGGGGGGGGGATGGTTGGCCTGTATGTCACAGAGTCGCTCATTTGCACAGAACTACTAAACACCTCAAATGATGTAGTTGAAGTTTTGGCGGTAAAGACTGAAAACCAAAACCATGTCATTGTGGTGGTATACAAGCCTCAAGATGCAACTTTCCAGCAATTCCAGGAGTAGCTTGTGAAAATTGACCACTGGAAAATCTCCCAACTCCTGCCCCAAACATCTTACTACTAGCAAACAATGTTTTAGCAGCTCAGGAGGCAGCTCAGATGAAAATTCACACACACACGAACAATTAAATCTCTGCACTAAATTCACCAGCAAACAGTAGAGCCTACAAGACTAGAAAATATGCTGGACCTCATCTTCACTAACAACGACGATCCGATACGTAATATAACCGTATCGAAGACAATACACTCAGATCACAACATAAAAGAGGTACAGACATGTATGCACAGGGCTCATGATCAGCAAAATGTGAGGAGTCATGAAGGTCTCTTCACGAAATTCAATTTCAATAACAAAAACATACAATGGGATCAAGTAAACCATGTCCTAAATGAAACAAGCTGGGAAGATATTCTAAACAACACGGATCCGAACATTTGCCTTGAAAAAATGAACTCTGTGTTCTTGAGATCTGCTCTAGACACATTCCATTAAGAAAAAGAGAAGATGTAAACTAGAGAGAGAGAGATGCTCCCTATACAGACGAAGGCTAAGACTCACAGAGCTGCTGAGTGGGGCCAATATATCTGACATACGAAGGGAAGCACTAGTCAATGAAATTGCAAATATCGAACTTCAGCTGAAGGAATCTTACAGGAGACAAGAATCACAGGAAGAACTAAAAGCCATAAAGGAAACTGAAAAAAAAAGATACTTCTTCTCTTATGCCAAATCTAAGAGAAAAACAGCATCCAGTATTGGGCCCCCGCTTCGGCGAGATGGGACATACACAGATGACAGCCAAGAAATGAATGAGATACTAAAGTCCCAATATGATTCAGTGTTCAGCGAGCCACTGCCCAGACTAAGGGTCGACAATCCACATGAATTCTGTATGAACGAAACTCAAAATTTGGTCATCAAAAATCTCGGATATTATCCTAATTCCACAAGACTTTGAAGAGGCAATAAATGACATGCCCGTGCACTCATGGAACTCAGTGTTCATCAAGAATTGCAAGAAGCCCCTATTGTGTGCCTTCAGCATTTTATGGAGAGGGAGCATGGACACAAGGGTCATCCCACACACACTAAAACAACAGACATAGCCCCACTCCACAAAGGTGGCAGCAAAGAACTACAGACCAATAGCACTAACATCCCATATCATAAAAATCTTTGAGAAAGTTCTAAGAAGCAAGATCGCGAACCACCTAGATACCTATCAATTACACAACCCAGGGCAACATAGGTTTAGAGCAGGTCGCTCCTGCCTGTCCCAGCTACTAGACCACTATGACAAGGTCCTGGATGCTGTAGAGGATAAACAAAATACAGATGTAGTATAAACAGACTTTTCAAAAGCCTTCGACAAGTGTGACCGTTGTGCAATAGCACACAAAATGCGAGATAAAGGAATAACAGGAAAAGTTGGTAGATGGATCTATAACTTCCTGACAAATAGAACACAAAGAGTAATAGTAAACAGAGTAAAGTCCCAGGCAGCCACGGTAAAAAGCTCTGTTCCACAAGGCACAGTACTCGCTCAAATTCTATTCCTCATCCTCATTTCTGACATAGAGATGAAAGCCATAGCTCCGTGTTTTCCTTTGCGGATGACACCCGGATTATCATGGCAGTGATCTCCATCGAAGACACCGCGAGACTCCAAGCGGACATCAACCAAATCTTCGAATGGGCCACTCAAAACAATATGAAGTTCAACGAGGAGAAATTTCAACTACTCAGATATGGGAAACTTGAGGAAATTAAAAATGTATCAGGGTATACGACAAATTTTAACCATACAATAGAGCGGAAAAGTAATGTGAAGGACCTGGGAGTGATAATGTCAGAGGATCTCGCCTTCAAAGACCACAACAATGTATCTACCTCACCTGCTAAGAAAATGATAGGATGGATAATGAGAACCTTCAAAACTAGGGACGCCAAGTCCATGATGATTCTCTTCAAATCACATGTGCTCTCTAGGCTGGAATACTGCTGTACACTAACGGCCCCCTTCAAGGCTGGTGACATTGCAGACCTGGGGAGTGTACAAAGAACTTTCACGGCACACACAAGTACGATAAGGCACCTAAATTACTGGGAACGGTCTAAGGTCCTTGATCAGTATTCCCTGGAACGCAGGCGAGATATATACATGATAATATACACTTGGAAGGTCCTGGAGGGATTGGTGCCAAACCTGCACACGAAAATCACTCCCTATGAAAGCAAAAGACTCGGCAGGAGATGCAACATTCCCCTGATGAAAAGCAGGGGCGCCACGAGTACACTGCGAGACAACACAATAAGTGTCCAGGGCCCAAGACTGTTCAAATGCCTCCCAGCATACATAAGGGGGATTCCCAATAGACCCCTGGCTGTCTTTAAGAAGGCACTGGACAAGCACCTAAAGTCAGTGCCTGACCAACCGGGCCGTGATTCATACGTCAGCTTGCTTGCGGCCAGCAGTAACAGCCTGGTTGATCGGACCATGATCCACCACGAGGCCTGGTCTCAGATCAAGCCGCGGGGGCGTTGACCCCCGAAACTCTCCAGGTAAACAGTATAATTGATTATTGCCCCATCATCCTAGTCACAAACTTTACAATAACTTTACCATAACAATCGGTAGCACTAACCTGTAGAGAGATTTTAACACTGATTAAGACATTAGCTGTCCAAATATCCCCAAAAGAAGTCAGAACCTCTACAATAAACATTGACCTTCATAATAAACTTGTCACAACAAAAAACGAAATATTTAGCCGAAAGCTAACCAGTAGCATCCTCAGACCCATAAAATGTGTATGTGTACTCATATATTTGTAGTTGTAGGGGTTGATTCATAGCTCCCGGCCCCACCTCTTAGCTAGTCGTCGCTAGTCGTTCGCTAGTCGTGTGTGTGTGTGTAAATAAAGAGAATAACGGATCGGGACTCGAACCGTGGTCAGGGTTTGAGACACATGAAACTAATATATTGTGAGATAGACTTACTCGATAAAGTAGTCCCAGAAGTGTGTAGTATCGTTGATGAAGACATGTGGAGCCTCGCACATGATGTAGCCACACTCCAGGTGTGGCACAGCCACTGTGCTGTTGGGTAACACTGACACCGCTGCCACACCATCCTTCACCTGTCAAGTGTTGACCACACCATTAGTTTTATTTAATCTTGGCTAAGCACTAAACCCGTAAGGGTCACACGACTGAAGAGTGGGAGACAATGAGGAGTGATGATCTAATTCTAAGGAAACACAGGGCAGCTCCAGTTTTGAAAATCAATATTGTTTTTATTATAATAATTTATTATTATATTGATGAGGAAGCTCTAAACCTGTAAGGATTACACAGCGTATGAGGGAAGGGAGGTAGTCAAGTTTAGTTCGAGAGAAAGGCCCTTCAGCAGCCTCGAAGCACGTCCCTTGAAGGATGCTTGCCACTGGTGAATACATTATACACATTTCTAGTTTTTAATAGGGATGGAAGGTTCAAGTATGTGTGAGGGATGGAAGGTTCAAGTATGTGTGAGGGATGGAAGGTTCAAGTATGTGTGAGGGATGGAAGGTTCAAGGATGTGTGAGGGATGGAAGGTTCAAGTATGTGTGAGGGATGGAAGGTTCAAGTATGTGTGAGGGATGGAAGGTTCAAGTATGTGTGAGGGATGGAAGGTTCAAGTATGTGTGAGGGATGGAAGGTTCAAGTATGTGTGAGGGATGGAAGGTTCAAGTATGTGTGAGGGATGGAAGGTTCAAGGATGTGTGAGGGATGGAAGGTTCAAGTATGTGTGAGGGATGGAAGGTTCAAGGATGTGTGAGGGATGGAAGGTTCAAGTATGTGTGAAGGATGGAAGGTTCAAGGATATGTGAGGGACGGAAGGTTCAAGGATGTGTGAGGGATGGAAGGTTCAAGTATGTGTGAGGGATGGAAGGTTCAAGGATATGTGAGGGACGGAAGGTTCAAGGATGTGTGAGGGATGGAAGGTTCAAGTATGTGTGAAGGATGGAAGGTTCAAGGATATGTGAGGGACGGAAGGTTCAAGGATGTGTGAGGGATGGAAGGTTCAAGGATGTGTGAGGGATGGAAGGTTCAAGGATTGTGAGGGACGGAAGGTTCAAGGATGTGTGAGGGATGGAAGGTTCAAGTATGTGTGAGGGATGGAAGGTTCAAGTATGTGTGAGGGATGGAAGGTTCAAGGATATGTGAGGGACGGAAGGTTCAAGGATGTGTGAGGGATGGAAGGTTCAAGTATGTGTGAGGGATGGAAGGTTCAAGGATGTGTGAGGGATGGAAGGTTCAAGTATGTGTGAGGGATGGAAGGTTCAAGGATGTGTGAGGGATGGAAGGTTCAAGTATGTGTGAGGGATGGAAGGTTCAAGTATGTGTGAGGGATGGAAGGTTCAAGTATGTGTGAGGGATGGAAGGTTCAAGGATGGAAGACTCAAACATTCACTTTTGAAGTCCAGACAAATTTAATGACTGAATAAAGACACACCGGTGATATTTACGAAGAACATTTTACATCATATTTACAAAACATTTTACAGTATATTTACGAAGAACATTTTTCACCATATTTACAAAGAACATTTTTCAGCATATTTTCAAAGTAAGATGAGATTTCGTTCGGATTTTTAACCCCGGAGGGTTAGCCACCTAGGGCAACCCAAGAAAGGCAGTGCGTCATCGAGGACTGTCATATTTCTATTGGGGTCCTCATTCTTGTCCCCCAGGATGCGGCCCACACCAGTCGACTGACATCCAGGTACCTATTTGCTGCTAGATGAACAGGACAACAGGTGTAAGGAAACGCGTCGAAATGTTTCCACCTCGCCGGGAATCGAACCCGGGACTCCGCGTGTGAAACTAGAACTTTGCCAGCGAGGCCACAGGTACATTTTACAGTTCAGTAATCCTCATCAATTCAACTTAGCAGGTAAGTTTGCCTATTAAATAATTTATTCCATAGTGAAGAGCATTAGTGCAGTCACCATATCGTGTTTTTAGGTTACATGTTATTGATAAACTATGACGTGGGTCTTTGTCATAAGATGACTCGTTTAGTGGTGCCAGCACTGTGACGGAGGCACGGGAAGCTTGTGAGTCAAACGACACACGTGAAGGTGGGGTAGCCGATGGCACTATGGTGGTGGGCCATGCACTGCAGCCGCAACCTCAAGGCTTTCCTGTGCTGGACCCGTGGCAGACCGGGCCACGGATACCACGACCGCTGGCTTTCCCCTTAAAATTGTTATTTCTACACAGTTCAGTAAAGTCAGCTGCTCTGTAATTTGGAGTTGTCGAAATGTTAATTTAGGTATCACAGCTGATATTCGTCTTGGAACATGTATTATAATGAACTAATAACGTCAAAGTAGCTTGGACAAGGTCATGTATATTATCTGCTAGTGTTGGCGTCACAGACTGTGGGTGTTCACACCATGTAACTATCATACATAACATGGAAGCAGTTCACTGAGTGCCCCCACCGTGAATGAACTAAGGAAGAAGACAGTGAGAGATATTAACATTAGCAGAGAGGTGAGATAGAGTAGAGGCAGTGGGGAGGTTGAAGATGTATGGGGTAGAATGCAACCCAAGAGTGTGCAGCAGTTTGTGGTTATGTGAAGGTGGACGAAGGTGGGACGAGTAGCAAGTGTTGGAACCATGAGATAAAAAGGTGGTAAAGAAGTTAGCATATGAGAGGTTTTTACAGGTATTTATCTCGTGCCCCTTGGAACGTAGGCGAGAAAGATATTTGAAAATCTTTTAGGAGCTAGTCCCAAATCTGCACACGGAAAACGCTCCTTATGAAAGCAAAAGACTCGGCAGGCAGTGCAACATTCCTCCACTGAAAAGCAGGGGCGCCATAAGTACGCTAATAGACACAATAAGAGAATGAGTTTCATTAGCAAATTTTGTTGATAAAAAGAAACAATTTTGGAGGGAGTATTAAGGTGAAAAAACCTGGGAAACAAATGGTTTTGGCAGTTAGAGCAAGAAAGAAAAGAGACATTAGATGAGGAAGAGAGAGGTACTGGAAAGGTGGAGAGAACATTTTTAGTTGTTAAATGTTGATGGTCAAAGGGAGGCAATGATATGCATTGGGCATAAAGGAATAATATCTGGAAAGAGCAAGGAAGAGCGAATATATGGTAAGTTCATGAGACAACGGGTAGAATAAAAGGGGGTAGGAGCATGGCATTATGACTGAGATCAGTTGAGGATATAATGTTGGAGTGGTTTGTGCATTTATTTAATATATGTATGAAAGAAGAAAAGCTACATAGGGCATGGAAGAAAGCACACATAGCTCCTCTCTATAAGGGAAAGGAAAAAAGAGATAGTGTTTGATTTATAGAGGAATAGCCCGTTTAATATACCGGGTAAAAATCTATGGTTGAATTATTACTGACAAAAACAGGGAAATTAGAGGTATGATAGAAAGTATGATTGCATAGGAACAAGAAGGATTTAGGAAGCGTAGAGGATGTGTAGACCAAGTGTTAATATTAAAGCATGTAAGTGAACAGTATGTAGATAAGGGTAAGGAATTGTATCATTTATGTATCTGGAAAAGTTTTTTTCTTTTTCGGGCCACCCTGCCTTGGTGGGAATCGGCCGATGTGTTAATAGTAATAAAAAAAATATGATAGGATGGGTAGGGTAGCAGTGTGGCTGATGTTGCTAATGCATGGAATAGGTGTTAGGGTACTAAACACAGGAAAGAGTTTTCACGAGGAGAGTAAGTCTCAGGTTAGAGCATGCAGGAGGTAAGGGAATATTTTCCTGTAAAAACAGATCTTAGGGATGTGTGATGAGAGGGGTCAGCAGGAGCATCAGCGTCAACAATCACTTCCTCTAAGCACACTAGGTGGTTTTTTCCCTCTTGCCTTAGCTGCCGTAGCCTTTCAGATTTCATTTTTTTTTTTCAATGAATAGAATGTTTTTAATGATAGAATTGTGAACTATTAGTTGTCAGCACGTTTTAAAACTGAGAATTAAAAAACAGTAAGACAGTTACTACCATAAAATAAGCTGTGTTTATGGTAATAAATGACGTTTTTTTTTTTGAGGTAATAAATGGTGCCTATTTTTATGTGCTGTCCTCCTGACGTTAGAACCTGGATACGTCTTGTGTGATGTAACAATATTTATCTAAAATTTATAGATGTGGCTGTACGAGACGTCAGTGCTAGAGTGTTGATGAGAGGTGAGAGATTAAAAGATAATGAACATGATACAAAGTTGTAACATTTGTTCTTTGTGAAGAGAGAGTCCGAAGAGAAGTTGCAAAGGTTGGTGAACAAGTCCGGAAGGATGAGTAAAAGAAATTAAAAGCGAACATAAAAAAAAGCAGAGTGATGAGAGCAATAAAAAGTTTAGATAATGAAAAACTGGATATCAGATAGGAGAGAGGGGTATGGAAAAGGAGAATACATTTAGATATTTCTAAGTGGACGTTTCAACAAAGAAATGTATGGTAGACGAAGTGAATCACAGAACAGAGGAAGGGAGAAAGGTAGTCGCAATGTTCAGGCGTCTGTGAAGATAAAGAAGTTTATCTACGACGACTAAAATTGAAATTTACCAGAGTATAGTGGTACCAACATTTAAATGGGTGAGACATAGGTGCTAAACGTTGCAACGATGAGGAGACTGGAAACAGTGATGTCATGTTTGAGAGTGATGTGTGGTGTGAATATTATGCAGAAAATTCGGAGCTTAGAAATTATGACAGTGTGAAGTTACGAAAGGTAACATTCAGAGTGCAGGGGAGGGGTTGTTGAGGTGGTCTGGGCAGTTAAATATAATGAAAAAGAATAAGATAATCAAGAGGTATATAAACCCAGGATGGAATGAAGGGCAAAAACTCTTAGGCCATCAGCTGGTGCATGTCATTGTGACCTCATGTTCTTTGATACTTGTATTCGTTGTTCATTACTGAGTTGGCATGTGGTGAAAATCCTTGTACATTCTGGATATTTTGTACATATTAGCTGAAGGAATAACAAATATAAATTTCACAAGTTACTGCTTAGTCAAGTTCTTTCCTTGTTGAGTGGTAATTGTGACTGTTATTGGCCGTTGCTTATAGCAACAACCCGTTACTGCAATTCTGCAAAAGACGTACTGG